AAAGAAGCTCTATGACATTGATGTGGCTAAGGTCAACACTTTGATTAGGCCTGATGGAGAGAAGAAGGCCTATGTTCGACTTGCTCCTGATTATGATGCTTTGGATGTTGCCAACAAAACTGGGATCATCTAAACTGAGTCCAGTGGGCTAATTCTAAATGTAATAAATTTTTCTCACAAAAAAAAAGAAGAACGTGGCATGAGACTTGGAGGAAGATTCATCAACCTATTAGTTACACAGATGACACAACTTTGATTGCAGAAAGTGAAGACTTGAAGCACTTACTACAGATGGTGAAAGACTTCAGTATGTATCGCAACATCAAGAAAACAAAAATCTTCATCATAGGACAAATAGGCAACATCATGATATTTGTTAGGTGCCTTCAAGTTGAGTATGTCTCATAGCAACCCAATGAATAGCAAACCTGACCCCTATCCAATCCTGTGCTACCCTCATCATCTCTGACACACTAGAGCACATTACTGAAGTCATCATGTCAGTCCATCTTGTAAGAGATCTTCCTCTCCATCACTGATTTTTCCAAGCCTTATGCTCCTTTCCAAGAAAAAGCCTTGCCTAGTAACATGTTCAAAGTATGAATGATGAAGCTTCATCACCTTTGCCTTCAAGGAGCACACTGGCTGCACCTTCTCCAAGACATATCTGTTGGTTCTTTTGGCAGTCCATGGGCTATTCAGTACTCTTCTCTCACATTACAACTTGAAGTCATCAAGTCCCATTCTGTCATCCTTATTCATTATCTAGCTCTCTGATGCATAGTAGATGATTGGGAAGACAACAGCCTAAATCAGGAGTGCTTCAGACTTCAAACTGACATCATTGCTTGTCAGTATTTTGCAGAGGTATCTGATGGACTTGCCCAAGGCAAGACATCTCCTGATTTCCTGACTGCTGATACCAAGGTCAGAGACTGCTGACCCACATAAAATGAAATCAGTGACAGTGTCAATCCTTTCTCCACCTATTGGTCTTGTAGTGAGGACCTCTGTTGTTGACTATTGGTCTTGTAGTGAGGACCTCTGTTTTCTTGATGTTGAAATGTAACCCATAGTGAAGGCTATAGTCCTTGTTTCATATCCTCTTCACTTCCAGTAAGCAAAGTTTTGAAGTTGTCAACAACTTCAATTTACCTGGATTCACAATCAACACCTATGGAGGTAATAATAAAGAGATTAAAAAAAAATGTATGCATAGGGAAAAATCTGCTATCAAAGAACAAGGATATCAGTTTAAAGACTAATGTGTGCCTGATCCAAACTCTGGTAATTTCAGTTGCTCCCTATACATCTGAAAGTTAGGCAACGAATAGGGAAGCCTAAAGACAAATGGATGTCTCTGATTTGTGGGGTTGGCAAAGAGTATGGAATATCCCACAGATGGCCAAAAGAAACAAACAAATGTGACTTGGAGGAAGTGCAATCAGAGGTAAGGATGGTAGGCATGTCATTAGGAGGAACAGGTCCTTGCAAAAAAACCAAGAAAAGGCCAAATGTCTGAGTATATCAGAGCTCATGAAGATGGTGCAGTACACAGCAAAGTTTGGATCTTTTGTTCTATAGTGTTGTTATGAGTCACAGTTGACTCAATGCTACCTAACAGCACAACAATAAGAACATCAAGAATGATCAAGGGAAAGATGACAACTTTTATATACACAAAGTATTTATTAAAAATGCCATGAAGAGCAAGCTCTGATGACCCAGTGGCAAGAAGCTGCACTGCAAGCCAAGAGGTGAGCGGTTTGAATACACCAGACTCTCTGCTGGAGAATGAGGGACAATCTCCTCCTGTACCAGTCAGATTCTATTTGATGGTACACATACACACACACACACACATATATTTAAAAAAATGCCATGAAGAAAAATGAGGGCACAAGGAAACACACCATAGTTTTTCCAGAAAAACAAATAAACAACAACAACAAAAATCAAACCAAACCAAACATAAAACTCTACAGTTTTAAAAGAATTCAGGTGTGTACAGGCTTCATGTCTTTTTCATAAGGAAGATGAAGAATTCTGAAAAATTAGGTCATCTAGGTGGGGTTATGAAAATTAAGTGCACACACAGCTAGTCCTTCAAGATCGAATCTGCAGTAGAGGCTTAGACACGATGGGGTGCATACATTACAGCAGTGTTTTCCGAGTTGCTTCTTTTCCTGGGCAGTTCAGTTCAAAGTGAGTCAGTTCTTAATCGTGACTGGTGTTCTGTGCACGCTCAGAAAAGTGGTTAGCATCAACTGCTATGGAGTTACTTTTTGAGGGGAAAAACAAATTCTGTCTCAAAAAATTAGGTGATGAGCAATTATAGTTATCTCTGGTGCAGGATGTGGGGCAGGTTTAGGCACTTGCTAGAATAGGAAAAGAATACCTTTCTTCCTGTCTTGCATCTTTAACCTTTTGAGAGGTAGTCCATGGATTATGTCCTACCACAATAACAATCTTGCTATCTAATAACAACGAAAATATACTCCAACTAACAAAATTCTGATCCATAGAATCTTTAAAATAAAAAGGTGAAGAAATCCTGTGGAAACTAAATCTTATCACTAAGTGAGTGTACTGAAAAGTATAATTCCTGCAAAAGTTTAATAGATTTTTTTTCTTAAATAATCCTTAATTTATCACAATAAAACTACATTGTAAAACCAAAAATTATTGAGAAGTACTTTAATCCTGTTATGATTCTATTAATTTGCTTTTTGTAAGAAAATAGAAATTTCTCTTTGGTAGTGCTTCCTGCTCTTTAGGCTATAATAAGGCCATGTTTTCTTCAGGTGGCAATTAAGTGGAACACCTTCTCTGGTGCTTTGTTATTGGTGGCAGTGTTTTTTTATTGTGATGAAAATTTATGTAACACATAACAAAAACTTGCCAAATCAACACTATTTACATAAACAATTCAGGGGCATTGATTAAATTATGTTGTCCTCCATTTTTACTACATCCCAAAACAAAACTGAAATTCATTGCTGTTACTGTCCCTCCAGTAAATTTTGAGAGGCTATAAAAGATATAGGAGGAAACTGCCCATCTTTCTCCCGAGGACTTGCTGCTGGGTTATCAGTATAACTCTCTATGGACTGAACCACCAGAGCTCCCTACTCTAAAACAACTTCTCTTAAATAAATTTCAAATTTCTTTTATAGGTTTACAGATCCATAACACTAAAAATAATAATTTGAGAAAGATAAACTGCTATCAGTACTATGAAAAGTATTTATCAAAAAAAGGCATTTCTCCTATACATTTAAGTTTCAAGAATAAAAAGTTTGTCTCCCAATTGTTTAACTGTTCCCTTTTATTTACTTAATGACATACCTCTGCTTCCATATGATATGCATTTTCCACTCTTCTAAAATCTTTCATAATTGTTACATTTTCTGCCTAAAAAATAAGGTACAAACATATAATCATTGTTTGGTTACTAAATGCAGTTACTCCAAAACATAATTTAGAAATATAAATTTAATAAAAAGTATGCAGATAGAAATATTTTGCCTGATGTTTTAATTTTTTTTAGCATTTCTTTTA